GAGTCCTCTACGGCCTCAAACACAAATTGAGCCAGCCTCTCAGTTGGCTCATCTTTCGCCAGACTCTGCAAAGCGGCCTCTGCTGCCTCGAGCTTCAGGTCAAGCTCGCCACCTGCAAGCGAACCTGCCGTCAAGTACCCAAGAACGAGGTCGGCGTCCGTAACCTCGCTCCACAACTGCAGACCGGTGTGTAGTGAAGTGTGATCTATCTAGCCCACCAACTTCAACTTGTTGATGTGGCTTGGGTCAGGGTAGTGGGCAGTTCTCCACAAGTAGGATCGACCGTTTCGTGGGCATGCATGCTTGTCCGTGGTTGCAGTAACCGCTACGGAAAGTGCCCCTACGCGATGCGCTTGCAGACGAGTCACGGTCGGGAGGTCTCCGCCGCGATTGTAGCAAGCAGGGCCTGGATTAGACCCTGCTGACTGTGGACCAACTCTCATAGCCACAACGTCTCGGGAAGCGATGCTGCCGCCACCTCCACTGATTTCGACAAGATCAACGCATGGAATTTGCAAGGGTAGCCCGGAGTGTTTCATGAAAAGCCGGGCTCGGTCGACCTCGAATGCGCGGGTCACGGCGGCTCTTCCTCTAGAGATGGCACAGAGCTTGGCTGTGGTGCCTCCCATGTCCAGTGACAGCACTTCTTGCGCCTTGGCCTCTCTGGCCACCTGCTCTGCCAAAACAGCACCACCAGCAGGCCCGGATTCAATGAGACGAACAGGAAACAGTGCCGCCGTGTCAGCATCCATCAGTCCACCGCCAGAGGTCATCACGAGCAACGGGCACAGAAAGCCACATTCCAACAGCAAGCCTTGGGCCTCCTTCAGGTAGCGAGACATCAATGGCTGGACGTACGCATTTGCTGCAGCAGTGCTGAATCGCTCATACTCACGAATTTCAGGACTGACTGCACTGGAGGTGCAAAACCAAACATCTGGCAGCAACGGTCTCAAGACAGCCACTGCCCTTTCCTCGTGTGTATTGTTCATGTAACTATGTAAGAAGCATACAGCAATGCTTTGGACACCAAGAGCTTGGAGTTGCGGCGCAAGTGCTTCCAGTTCAGCTTCGTTCAAGGCCTCAAGCTCTGTGCCATCAGCAGCGTGCCGCTGGGATACTTCAAAGCATAGTGAGCGAGGTATCAGTGGTTCCGCTATTTTGGCGTTAAGCTTGTATCGATCGTAGCGCCCGCTCCGTCCTATGTCCAAGGTATCCCTAAAGCCCTTCGTGGTGATAACAGCGGCCATGGCACCTCTTCTCTCCAGCACGGCATTTGTTGCCAGTGTGGTACCATGAAGAACCAATCGAACTTGCTGCGGCGAACGCTGTCCAGCTTTCAAAGCACGGAGCGCAGCATCCACAAAGCCCTTTGCAGGGCGTTGAGAAGTTGTCAGCACCTTGACCGGATACCGCTGAGTAATCTCTTCACCGTCTTCCAGCACTGCATCAGTGAACGTTCCACCTTGTCAGGGACAGTCACGCAGGCAGAGAGGACTTGAACATACTGTGAGTCACAGGGCAGGCTCAGCCATCGCGAGCCTATGTCAACAGCAAGGCGGCAGACCAGACGCCCATCCCAATGAGCAGTAGCAAGGGCATTGGAGCCGTTGGCCGTGCAGTCCTGAATTTCCGGCTCCGGAATACGATTTTTCAGGAGCGGTGTTCGGTACACTCCGCCTTCCTTCTTGATCTCAATACCACTACCTGTCTCCATGGCGGCGGCATTCTCCGGCTTTCAAAGCCAGTGCTCAAACTCTGGAGCAATGGGCAAACAAAGCATCACTGGCTGCGATGGGATGCAACACACAGGTACCGCGAATCGACAAGACAATCATCCGACATGGTCCTGCCAGCCCCGTGTCAACGACGATCTTAGCCTGGAGCAAAGATTGCAGCTGCAGACAGCGCAGCTTGTTAATTGTGGCGAGTCTTCCCATCCTTCGTGCGGAAGTTCTGCGTCGGGTCCATACCATAGAAGAGATTGTGGTCGATGGGCCTTGCTGGCAAGCCCGGGCATCCGACACCGTGCATGCGTAGCTAGAAGACAACCAAGACTAGCTAGCCAAGCTCTGACAAAGGAAAGATGATGGCCATCGTTTGCGTCAGGCTGTAAACGTGCAGAGGACGGTGCGGCAGCGTGACTTCTGGCAAGTGCGCCCCAGCACCCGCAGCCAGCTGAGCAGCTGCCTAGCAACCAAGATTTATAATAGGCCTAGGCACATGTGCCCCAGAAGGAATGCAATATACTTCATTGCATCAGTGTAGCCTGTAGCTGAACTTAGCTCTGGCCTTCTCTGGCCGGTACTTGAAGTCTGCAGGCAGAAGCCTGCCACGATCGGCCATGTCCTGTCTCAGTTTAGGCACAGCCTTCCATGAGACCTCTGGCCTAGCAGGGGCATCATGCCAGGTAATACTATGAATCCCTAGTTTGCTCGAATCGAAAACGTCTCCTGCACAACCTTGTGGATGTTGGCCACTGCGGTTGTCACCTGTACCAGTTCATGCGCTGCCGGTCCCGTGGTCCATTGCACTTTTCCGACACGAGTTTGCACAGTTGGATGCAAAATCATGTGCCTGCTCTGCAGTCCCCTCCAAGCCTGGTCGTGACTTCACTGCGTTGTTTGGTGTTCACTGCCACAGCGAGGCTCAACGCAAAGCGGAAGCAGCGATCCTGGCCTATGGGTGTATCTGGCATACCCATGACCTGACTGCATCGATGACACGAGATTTTGGAGTTTTATACTCGGCGTCGCCCGAAAAGGTCTCCTAGTTACCTTGAGTTTGCAGTTCTGACCTAGACCTAAACTGACAGGCTACGGAGAGCAAGGTTTCTTTCGAGAAGGAGTCGGTTCTCAATGGATCGCTGCCGAGATCCACCCGTTTTCGCGAGCCATACTTACGTCGCGAGCCGTGACCGTCAGGCCAATCGACATCTTCGTGGTGCTCCAGGACATGATTACTGAGTTGCAAGCATTTTCTTTGCCAATGCTGATCTCGACTCCAGTCCCTTCCAACACCTCCCGGAACCGGGACTTGGGGGTCGGGACTCTGCTTACAGCAGCTGTAGAGTAGGAATTTCAAAGCTGGCAGGTGCCATGTGCCGCATGATGTGGCCTCGGCAATGGTTGCTCCTTTGATTCCCACCTCGCACAACCAGTAGTTGCACAAGCCATAACCACGACAGCAAGCCGGATGCAGTCTAAGGCTTTGCAACGTGTCCCATGATCCTTGTCAACGGAGCACCTGTTGGCTACGTGCAAGCAAGGGCAACGGGGCGCGCACAATTACAGGAATAGCTGTTGCTGGGACAATGATGACAAAGAATCCAATCTCGCTGTCCAGAAGATCCTGCAATGTGAGGTCCGCCGGACAAGCATGATTGCTGCACAACGCCGGCATCAAATGTGGTCGCGCAAAACTCTCACCCCCATCAGACCTAACAACCCTGAGTCATCAACCTCGAAATTGGAGGCCGTCGCTGGCACTGTTCGACGAACACGTTCCTAAAAATCTGACGTCTGTTGCTGGTGCCTGCAGCTTTCGGAGCTTTTGGACCTCAGACCCGACAGCAGTTTCTTCCATCATGTCTCGCAGTGGTAAGACATGTCCTGAAGCTTTGGATTGCCGGATCGCGTCTGATGCTAGCACTACAGGAACCAACAAGTGAGATTTCTCAGCGACGCACGATTCCCAAACAAGCTCGGGCTTTCTGCTCGGCCTTCAACGATGTGCAATGCTGCGCATCATGTGTTACCCTGCGCCTTCGAGCACGGTACAGTGAAACCCATAAACTTGGAAATCCGATTAAGATAATTCGTACTGGCATTCCCTAAAGTTTGGGTTTAGGGCACGAGGAGGGACCAAGAAAGGCACCTGTACAAAAATCGCAAGGTTAGGATGCCAATAAAGCAGGTGTCTACGAGAGTCTATGTTTGGGTGCTTTTCTGGTTCCTGATTGAAACCAATGCGTTTCCAACTTTATGGAAGTGACGGGTTGATTGCTGGGAAGCCACTCCCCTGTTTCGTGAAGTTGAAGGAAACCGCAGCAGGCCAAAAGGAGCTAGTGAGTGCTTGCAAATGGAGGTGGTTGCCCTCCGCTGTACTGACAAAGCTGTACCGATCGACCCGTTCTGAAACTCACAATGAATCCTCGGTTCGATTATATAGTCATTTTCAAGGTTTGAATCTTCAATACAATTGGATATTACCAGGGTGCGACATTAGTCGGCTGACTTCAGAGACAGATACTAGTTACTAGCACTGGCACGAGGTGGAGATAGCTTTTGTCTGAAGCTTCTGAGAAGATTTCCAATATGTGCGGTCCTGCATGCAGTGTGCAGACATGACATATTTAGCATGCCCGCCTGTCCACTGATGGTCACAATCCGGTCGCTCAAGCGACTTGGAGTGTCTCGGCTGCCGGAGACATCGATCAATGCTCCGGTGTGGTCAGACCTTGAAGCGAGGATGGCGCATGAGCAATCTGCGGAACGATGTCCTAGCTGGTCTGAGATGGCTGCAGATTCGCCAAGATTTCGTTGTTGTTGTATGTAACGAAGTCAACGGCCTCAGCTTTTCAGGTCTAGCAGCAAGTGCGTCCAGGCAACTGTGTCGAGCCCTGGGCCTCTTGAGGAAGGAGGCATCGCCACGGGACAGGGAAGTTCATGGCATCCCCTCCCTCATGATGGGATTGTTTAAGCGTGCGCTGGGTAGTCAGGATTCGAGATCTAGCGGGTTGTGCGTCCGGCTGCTTGCAAACGTGAATACCAAGAACATCTGATGCCATCTGCTTCCATCATATAGAATATATAGCAAAGGCCGGACCAACAAAAACTTGCAACATCACGAACGTCATTTTGTGGGCAGAGCCTGCCCCTTGTTGGGCTTAGAGCAAACAGCTGATTTGAGTGTCTGTCTCGGTCTTGCCAAGGAGCTCTTGCAACATGGAGAAATGATCGCTGGCTGAAACAGAAAGCCAACACACATCTGGAAGCCACCTCTTCCCAAGCGGCACTGGTGTCACCAACCAAGACAAAGTCTGCCTCATTGGGCAACATTTTAGGCATGTATATGCGTGTTCTTTCGTTCATCAGTGGCTGGGTCAGCATTGGCTCAGACGGCACAGTACCAGCTTTGCTACATGACATCTTGTTCCAACTGCCATGGCCGGCGATCTCCATGAACCGCATGTGTACACTGCATTCAGTCTGGGCATGCCGTTCTAACCCGTCCTCGTCCAGCTCTTCAATTGCTGACCGAACCTGGCAAGCAATTGCAAGAAGTGAATGCAAAGGTGTGGTTCGTCAGTCAGATTCCCGGCACTTTCAACCCAATCGCCTCCACCCAGGCTGCTTCCGATTCTTCCGGGTTTGCCTGCGCAGGCTTCAGCTATGGCGATTTCACCTTGACAAACTGAGTGCAGTCGCTCACTTCTCGAAAGCTGAAGCAAGCTTTGCTCAAAGTTATCCGCTTGATACGGCTTCGCAATCGCGCTGATGCTGTCTCGAGCGCAGGCAGTTTCGCGTCTCTGAAATCTGAGTCGCAAGCTTTTGTCAGGGTCGTTTTCTTTTGGTTGGTTGGTTGGTTGGTTGGTCGGGGCGGGTAGGTGGGTGGGTGGGGTCGGTTTCTTTGGTTGATTAGTTGATTGGCTTCGGGACACAAAAAATCGGCAACATCACTCGATGCCCTGGGATGGAACAAGCAACAGCGACTGCGGTTTTCGATCTACAATATTGGCGCAGTTCAATCAGAGACCACAGCAACTAAATAAAGTGCCTGAGCAGCTCTGTTGATGCACTCTGTGGCTGCTACGGAATATCCGCGAGCGGCAGCTGAGGCGAATTGAACTGCTCCCAATCTCAACCCGTTTTGGAGCTTGGACCTCTTCCGGCTCTGTATCGATGTCTGCATCCTGACGGCTGCAGGAGTTCTGAGGGATCGAACCAACAGTCAACAAGGTGCGTGTGACGTCCCCACCTCTTCAATGTCATGTCCAGCAGGTGCACTGTCCTCATGACATGTACGTCGTTCGACCGAAATGCAGGTTTGTATGAATCTAATTCTGCTGTAGCCAGTCCTGTGCTGCGCTAACGCTACCGATGTCCTGCTCGGACGCATCATCCTGCACTGACTCCGACCGCTCTGGTTCGGGCTCTGCTGACCTCGCAGTCTTATGCATCAATGATGACCGAAAAAGTTGCTTTGAGCTTGTTTTCTCTCCGCTGCTGCCCATCGTCGCAGGTCCTCGACAGCTCGGCCAACAGCCGGACATGATCTTCAGAGGCCTTTGTCGGCTCGCCTGTGTTGCCGTGTACCGCCGTGTCCATGGTCGTGTCTTCGCATAGGGTCTGTGTTTTTCCGGGCTCCGTGACACCATAGTTGAAGATCCCAATGACTGCTGTGGGATGCTTTGCACGTTAGCTTCCCTCTCGGACCGTTGAAAACAACGGGCGGAGAGCAAAGCCAGCAGCAGCTACATCAGCTGCAGCGATCCACCAAAGAAGGCCGGAAGACTCAGAAGGACCTCCAAGGCAAGAGCTTTGGAAGATTGGATAGTCTGCTCTACTCAATCAAAAGATTGTAGGGCCACTGAAAATAATGCTCTGTTCGGGCAATGCATCTGAATCTCATTGTATCTAGTGCCCGGTCTCTTGCGGGCCTACGCATGACAAAAGAGCACTGTGTTTGGTGAGCGGATACCGGCAGCTGCCTGGATGTAGATAGAAATCCAGCATGACGGCTGCCAGCGACAGCACTATAATGCTGCAGTAAGTTGGGCTTGCCCTCGCCATCAGCCACACAGACAAGGTGATGGCCACAAGCACAAAGCGAATCCTGGACAGACGCGTCGTCTACCGACTCTTGTGCTTAGAGTTCTGTATGCAGCAGCAGGCTGAGGGTCCTTGCAACCGTTAATCCAAACAGCGAGCTGCGGCAACTGCAACCAGGGGGCCAATACCAACCATAGGTTCCATGCCCAGGCAGTACACCCAAGACTTCCAGCAATCGCGCGTTCACATCCAGAACGAGCGATGCTTTGCTGGCACCTACAACCCAGGACTGTCGCGACCTGCACTTCATGAGATCATCGAACAGCTGCTCCCGTGCCCAGGCAAGATCCGCCAGTCCGACCAAAGCAGCCTCAAGGCAGCATGTCTCGACTGTTCAACCAAGCCTAGTGGCAGTTTGGGCAAGCTCAGGCACTGGCTGCGCTCTGTCTTCCTGAGAGCGTAGCAGAAGTGTTACTCCACACTACAAGTGCCGGCGCTGAGCGATTCCTCAAACGCCGGCACTGGGCGATCCCTCAAACTCACAGCCGCCAAACCAACAGGTCTTCTGTTCCTGCTGCAACCTGTCATCTTTGCCGCGTGAGTCGCTGAGGGATTCAGCATGGGAGCCTCGCCTTGCAAAGTCTTACTGTAACCTGAACTGTGGACAGTGAGTAGGACCAGGAAGCCTTTCGCAAGCGTTTTGCAAGCTGAGGTTCCCCAGATTCCCGAGCCGAGGGCCAGGACCCGCAGCAGCCCGCAAAGGAAGCACTGCCTTGAGAACGGTGTCCTTGATCAACTCATGCGCTTTGCAACTCCGAAGACTCTCTGCAGGTCCTGGCCAGGAGCAGCATGGCCAGACACGTCGCACATTCGATTATCTCGAAGTGTGGTGGAGACAGGACGGTGACAGGAAGAGGACCTGCCCAGTCGCAAAAAAAGGCATGTCAAGGCAAGCCGCAGGGACGGTCTGCGGTGAAAAGCCCATGCTGAGCCTGCGAGTGAGAGCAAGGCCGCTGCCGCATTCGTTAGAAGAGCCATGGCAGCCACCATGGCGCTCTGCTCTAGACCCTAGATCTGTGCTTCACAGAGCATTCTGACTAGACAGGATGCATCAACCGAGAGCATGACTGAATTCTGAAGCCACGTCCAACGGCAGCGATGTGGTGACTTGCGATGGCAGCTGTCTCTGGCTTCCAAACCTCGCACATGTCCCGACCGACCAGGGCAAGTGCGTCAGTGTCGTGTCCGGACAATTGCGGGCCTTGCGCCAGAGGTTGCGATCTACTGTCGGGGCAGTCGCGTGGTGGCACTCTTGTGGGTCAAGCGCAGCCTTGCTTGTGGTTCTGTTGCCGCGAGGCCCGAGCAGCGAGACTACGCTCTACGGCAGATGGTGGCCCTTAGAAAGGACTAAGACTAGAGAGTGGCTAGTGGCATCAGCCCTTGAAGATGCTTGGCCGCATTCGAGCTGAGCTCTCTGAACCTCAATATTCTGCACCCCCTCCTACTCCTACGGGTGGCGAGCTATCGGCAGTCCTGCGACTTTGGAGGCGAGGCATCCGGAGAGACAGTCGGCGCCTTTGTCCATGAGGCGGGCGAGTGCCAAAGGGCATGATAGCTGCCATGGATGTAAACAAAGCAGTCCATTTATCAACTGACTGCTGCATATTGCGTCTATTCATCGATACTTTGCGACCAACTCTGCCCAGTGTGGACACACCAATACTTTTACATTGTGACTCAAGCATCTTCGCGCACCCATAAGCACACGGCTGCCAGAAAGCAAGCCGCTGCCATCAGCATACTCAGCTGGTTCTGTGGCTGGACATCATCTGGACGCTTCACCTCCCACCTCAAGATGCATGCAAAGTTATCGCTGCTTCAGAAAAGTGGTTTGAGCAGGCAGCCGGGAATGCAGGGAGCGCAAGGCTAAGAAATTCATCCCAGCTGCCGGCGGTTGAGGCTTGCCTTCTGTTCCTTCAAGACAGGCAGTGTTGACCGATCTTGGCCGGTGGCTTCATGCGGCCCCCCGCCCGGCGCCTCGACGGAATGGGCGATCCCAGTAAGGCCGTCGCATCCTTCCCGGGCTCCTCACAGGAAATCTGTCTGCGGGTAGCTCAGGCTCCCTTGGCTGGCCTGTGATTCAGCTTGTTGCTTGCTGGTCTTCACACCTCAACAGTCCCCGTCATGGCCTGCTTGTCCTCCGATGCTGCAGTGGAAACGCCGCCTAAGCTGATCAAGCGGGAGAGAAAGAGTTGGAACGAATGATCAAGGCGTCTCTTCGCAGACCTGGCCTTGGTTGAGAGATGTCTCCGCGCGAGGCTTTTGGCCGCCTACAGCCGGGCAGGATTGCGGGTTGTCCCAAGCTAAGCTTGGCCGCGACGCAGTCTGATGCATGCTTTCAGGGTAGGATCCGCGCGGCGACGGCAAGTAAACCAAAGACTTATTCCGATCAAAAAGAGGTCCAACCTGCTTTGCAAGTCAAAATCAATCTGGGGTTTCATTGCGAAGGCTTTGCTGAGCCTCGAAGCCACAAGCCAGCAGCCACCTGAAGAAGACTCTCCGGGCACAATCTCACGTCCAGGAAACCGGACACATCGAGTATCGGGCTTCTTGAAGCTGCCATCGTTTCGCTTTTCTGGAGAAAAAGGTGTGTGCTCACTGTTGCGCACAACCTGCCCAGGAGAGCCGGCTCCAGAAGAGTGAGCTCTCGTATCCAGGCCTGGTTGAAAACTGTAGCAAATCTAGAAGAGAGGTTGTTGACCTTAAGAGCGAGACCCCGTCTCGCTTGGGTATTTCAGAAAAACGAGCAGCGCTGAGATCGCATCCTCGATTGGGTGGAAGGCCAGGATCTCGCAAATCCTGCCAACCAGATCTGCCTGAAAGGATCTTCAGGATCAGGCACTGCAAACCGGTTTCGCTTGAAGCTTTGCAGGCCTCACCGGGCACGTCAAAAGCCGGATGTGGCTTCCTGTCGTTCTGCAGCCTGCAGGCTGCAGTAAGGGGCATCCGCTGGGCCAACAGTTCTGGAGCAGAAACCCAAATTCCAACATGAGGCAAGCAGTGGCTAAGGTTCCGGTTCGCTTGCAATGCAGCTTTGCTTTCTCACCACTCAGCAGCTGCATCTTTCCTGCGACCTATTGCGACTTTCAGAAGTAGCTCCTGCAAAGGAACAGCCACACACACACACACAGACACACGTGCGTCTTCGCTCGACTCGTGCATGCGCGAAGGCCCATGCCGGACAGCTCCTGGGTCGCGGTCCAAGTCACCACAACCACTGACCTGACGGAGTGTGTTCATCCTGTCCCTGTTGGCCACAGAAAACTGGATACATTGATCCATGCAGCCGCCTCAGCCTTCAGACCGAGCTGCTCTACCAAGCCCTGCATTCTCAAGTGAACGCTCCCGAGTGTTTGGGCAAGTACAACTTCACTGGAGCCTGCACAGTTCCCACTGCCGTTTCGTAGAAAGCTTGCTCCGCCTGCCTGCAAAAGGACTAGCGAGAGCACTGAGAGCACTCGCTTTTCCAACAGCTTTTGTGCTCCACTCTGCTCACCGGAGATCCCAGTCTGGCAAAACATCAGCGAAGAAGAGTGGTACAAGCAATGCAGCGCACCGGCCTCATGATTTCACGCGTGGTATGGCGTTCTGAACCAGCGAACAGAGCTTGGCTGAAAGAATCGCCTTTGCTGTCGAGCCAGGTTTTAACAGAAAGCCGTGAAGAGCAGCTGATCGCTTCCGATTGACATCATGCACCGATTTGCTATGGTAGTGCTAGGAAAAGCTATGAAATTGCAGGATCGAAGAAGAACTTAAAGCGCGTTCGAAGGCTTCTGAGACTCCTGCGCATTGCAGCACGTGCAAGTTGTGGTGGCAGGTCTCGCAGATCGACCAGATCCTGCGCAACAGCATGCTATAGAATGCTCATCCTGAGCAGCACTCTGACTCTGTCATTGCCTCCGCAACGTATCGAGTCACCAGTGTGCCTTTAGCAGGGAGACCATGCCCGACTTGTGACAGAATGCAAAGACCTAAAGACGAACAGTACGAGCGTTCCAAGAGCGCACCAAAATGCACCAAAGGTTTCAACATTCGAAAAGCCAGGACCACAAAGATCCACGCGCGGATACCGGTCGGGAAGTTTCGCAACAACGGGGTTGGGTGGCACGGCAGCGAAAGGTAGGAGAGCTCCAAGCGGCATGCCGGGAGCATCAAGTTTCGCTGCACTAAGCAGACATGCGCAGAGCGGGGTGTGTGCGTGGCCTGCGAAGTCTCTATCCTGAACGACTGTCAGGTGCCTGCAGGTGCTCTCTCTTGAATGCCGGAGAGCTTGGGCTTAGCGGAGAGCTGCAGTTGTCTACCCAGGAAATGTGTGTGTGTGTGTGCTTCGCACACTTTACGAACATGTCACTACACCGGGAATTTCATCGCTCTCTCTTCCAAACGACCCCGTCGCAAACTCCGGCCTTCGCCGGGTCGGCTGGTGAGAGTGGGTCTCTTGAGAGCTCTTTCATAGCACCTACTGGGGACTGGTACGCGAGGCAAGCAAACGAAAGCTTGCTCGACTCTTTGAGGCAGTGACCGTCGCTGCATTGCAGCCACAGGCTCCAGGCTGAACTTGCACTGTTGCAAGCGCTGGCCACGCAGCCTCTCCTGTCTGAGCGCTTAGACTGCTCTAATGAAACCTCCCTCACATTGCGCAATCGTGCTTCAAGCAGGTTGTGCCGAGCTTCCAAGATAGACTCTGCGAGCTGCCAAGAGCGCCCTTAGTGAGACCAACACAGCAAAGCCATCTTAGATCTCAGCGAGCGCCGGACTTTCTGCTAGGGACGATAGGGCCGCTCCTGCGGTCGCCTAAGAGCATGGAGAAAAAGTTCCCGGAGTCGCATCGAAGAGTATCGGCCTCGTTCGGCGCGAGATTCCACTGAGACATCGCCTGCAGGGGGGCATATTCTTGAGTCTCATGCTCCAGATGTGCAGGATTTCGATGTCCTACAGAACCCTACAAAGAGATATCAAGAGTCTGCAGTTCGCGTTGGAGCCACATGTATGTAATGAAGCGGTCTCTGCGTGGACAGCCACTTCGCTTTGGATTACTACGGTCCTGTGATTTCACAGTTCGCTTGGTTGGACTGAGAGTGCCCGTGAAGTGTTAAGTGCAGCAGGGTGTGCATAATAGGACCTAGCAGCTCCAACAAGCGAGCCCCCAAATCTAGAAGAGGAAACACCACATTCCTGTCTTGTAGTGGCTGTACCAGGAATCAGCCCACCAGCTGTAAATGCAACCCGCTTTTTGCTCTTTGACTTTCGGCGCTGAGATGCTGTGCTTCGGCTTAGACCGCCTGATTGCAACAGCAGGTAGGCTGGGTAGACCCAGGCCATCAGAAATGCTTGCTACGATTCTGCAGCATCAGCATCTTGCTTCTCTGTGTCGTCCATCTTTCGCTTGCGGCTCACTGCACCTGGGACAGAGAGCATTGCCCTTGGTCCACTTACAAGGGCACAGTCCCCAGGTCTCTTGTCAGTTTGCTTTCATCCGAGCTCCACCAGCCTGCGGTCGCAGAGCTGCCCGCAGCCTCCTCAGAGCTCTGGCTGACAGAGAACAAGGACGGCTTCCAACAGGATGAAACAGCGACACAGACAAGATCAAGCCAAGGCTCCAAACGAAAACAGTTTGCACAGTTTGCAGTGGCAACGACTCATTCTTTAGCCATGGACAGTTGTGCTAGGTATCCGCCATTGCGCATCGCCTTGCTGTGCAGTCGAGTCTCAGAAGCTTCGGCTTCGAGCTCCAAGCCTTCAGCGAGACTCGTTTGAAAGGACGAAGGAGAGGCCCCCGGGGTCCGGGCCTGGGCCTGGAAGCAGCTGCAAGGCTGGCGTCACCCACTCCTCTTCAAGGACATACGGACGACTACCCCTTCATGAACCGACTGACGTGAAGGGCGCCTGGCCAAAGATGCCGCCCCACTTCTTTGGTACCAAGCCTGCGGTAACGGGAAGTCAAGCACAGCTGAAGATTTACGTGTGGAGCCGCCGAAGCCCTTTACTCCCATGAAGACATGGCCTCTGGAAAAAACAACAACATGCCCCTGGCTGCCTGCCTCATATGAAGCAGAACCGAGCTACTGGTAGCAGCAGGTCGTTGTAGCTACACGTTGGATTTCCTTTTGACACCCCGTCCTCCAAGCGTTCCGGCTGCCAAAGCGAATGCCATGGTGGCCAACGCAGCGCGGGCATAGGGATCCTTCGCCAGTGCATTCATCGCCCGTGGAAACGTGTACCTCAGAAGTGAGAGAGCGAGTTTAGTTTGTAAGCCTGTCTCACGGTCATTTGGGACGATGCCCAAAGCGCTCGGTGAACAACAAGCCTACCAGGCCTACCATGGAAGGATTCATTTCTCTTCATTACCTCACCCACCACATGAACATGCGTGGTCCTGCTTCCAAGGTTTCCCAACCTGCCACTGCTTCGCCGAAGCGCCAGTCATACACGTCCTCTGGATCTTCACAGTCAGACTCGGCTGCAGAGCCAGCCGGTGGGGGATTCGCGGCGTACAGTGCATGCAACAGAATTGGCATGTCAGGGACGGCAATAGTGACGGGTGCAATCTCCAGGGTTGTCACCTCCTCCTCCTCGATCTCGCACAGCTCGGATGCGATCTGGACAGCTGCTCGTGCGCTAGGCTCGATGTTTGAAGCGCCCCAAGGCAGTCGCATACCCTCCCACTCTCCAGAAAGGGACCGGATGAGCACACACTTGTTTCCGCGCAAAATCAAGCCACCCACCAGACGGCTTGGGCCAAGCTCTGCTGGCAAACTGTCTTCATCCTCATTGCCATCACCTACCAGCGGAAAACTGAGCAGTCAAACTTATTCCTTTTCCGGCCGCCTCTAGCTTTCTTTTCGTCTCGAGCCTTGGCACTCCTGCTGACAATCATGGCTCATTGGCTCAGGGTGTCTCGGATCATCTTGAGCCGAGATCGCTGATGGACGCAGGGAACGAAGCAGCCACACCCTGGAAACTTGGCGAATAGCCGTGGCTTAATTTCTCTGGGCGGGTCGATTTATCTGAGATTGACATGCCGCAAATTCTCTTTCGACTTCAGGTTGCTCTACCTGACTCCCGAAGCCGTGTTGCTAAGTGGCAGTGTCATAGTCATGCAGAGCCTACAGGCGCTTACAAGGCAGCAGCTTTAAACTCCAGCTCCCTAGAAGCAACACAGATAGTATGCGTGCACAGCAGACCGGCCTCATAGGTGAGGAGGAGCGTCATCTCCCAGCAATGCGCTTTCGCGCACGCGCTGATTGCTGACGTAATGAGAGCAATGTCTGGAGAGAACCTTTCCTGGCTCATCTGGCTCAAGAGCAGCAAGGCTCGTGCCCACTGCTGTCCTTTTTCGAAGCTGGACAGGACCGCTCCAAGTAGGCTGAGGTCTGGCGTGAGTCTGCTTGCCAAAGCTTCGTTGAACAAGTGAAGCGACCACATCCATCTTCCCGCCTTCTCACATGCTGTGATTGCAGAATGAGTTGCAATCAGATTGGGTCTTTCATGTGTTGAGGACTGGAGCAGCTGCAATGCTAGGAGCCAGCGGCCCTGCGAGGAGCAGGCAGTGATGAGGCTGCCCGAGGTGATCTCATCTGGCTCGAGAGCTGAAGAGACCATCACGGCTGCTAAGTGCAGTGCCCAGGACCACCTCGAGGCCTTACTGCATGCGCTGATGACACTGTTGTAGGTGGTCAACTCTGCCCTTAATCTCGACTGGCCGACGAGCCGAAGCTCGCGCAAGGCTGATTGCCAGCTGTGGCACTTCTCCATAGAGCCCACAATCATGTTCACTGCAACTATGTCGGGCTGGATCTGCAGCTGTCTGGATATCTCCGGAACCAGTTCGGGGCGGCTTTTGCCACAGATGCTCAAAGCCGCTTTTAGCGTGCCCATGTCGCTAGAAATATGCCGCCTCTTCATGTCCTCCAAAACATGGAC